CAATATTCACTCCATGCCCAAATCACCCAAATTGACCCTACTGTCTCGCTCCTCTTCTCCTTCGTCCTCAACAGCTGTGACTTCCAAATGCCATTAATGTGCAGCATAACTAGCATTCATAGAGCATTACCAAGTTTATTTCTTATGCGCTGATAACTAAGTATGGTACAACCCTAGTGCCAAATTCCCCTGGGAGCTTTCATAGCTGATGTGTAATGGACAGTAGGAATAACCTTGAGGAGCAGGAGGAAGACCTGCAACCAGATAAAAGAAATTTGATCCCAAGGCAGAAATGTAGTTTGAGAAAATGTCTCAGACTTGACCCTCCCTACTTCTCATAAAGGAGGGAGGGGGGAAGCACATTCAGACTTGCAAGCTTCTGTCACTGTAACCTTACCATAAAAGTAATATTAGCATTCATGACTTTGGTTTCCTAGTCTGGTCTGTCGAAGGACTGACATGAGGGGGGACTAGAACCTGGGTCTCTTTACTCCTGGTCTAACTCCTTCACGTACACCATGCTGGCTGTTAGTCTGAGGAAGGAACTGTCCCAGAGCCCCCCAAGGAACTTCTGTGGGTGAGGGGGGGGGCTTGAACCTAGGTCTTCCTGCTTCCGCTCTAGCATCTTCACCACTAGACCACCCTGGCTCTTGGGCTGAGAGAAGGCGATTGACCAGAATCCCCCAGGGAGCTTCTGTGGCTGAGGATGGACTAGAAGCTGAGTCTCTATGTACCTAATCCACCTCCTTTGCTATTACATCACACTGGGCTGAATAGGAAGAACCAGCTCAAGGCACTCCTGTGCTCAAGCAGGGGCTGGACAGATATCTGTCATGGAAGTTTCAGTTTGGATTTTGGCCCTGAAAAGTTAGTTGGTTGGATTCAGTAACCCCAATGGTTCTTTCCGACTCTATAATCTTCCCAAACTAACTTCTACTATGAAACTTGTTCCTACTCTGAGAAAATGGAGGATCTCAGCAAACCTAAATATAAAGGAGTTTCTGCAGTTGGCAGAGTAAAAGCTGCACTGAGGCCAGCTGTGCCTGGCCGATCCGTGACCCTCCTTTAAAATCATTTTGTAGCACTCAATTTATGGAGTAAGTTGTGCATGTTGAAAATAAAAAGACAAGGAAGGAGCCAAGGTCCTTTTAAACAACCCTTGCCTTGGAAAGGTCTGGAGAAGTCTGTTTCCCCAAAGACAGCCTTCTCCTTTGGAGTCACTCACCTTCCTGATCCAAGATGGTCCCTTCTGCGCAAGGAACACAGTCATAGCAGCAAACTGGCTTCCCATCTTGAACTACCTTAGCAAATCCGGGGAGACAACTTTCTCCACACCTTGAAGAAGGCAGAGGCTAATCACAGAAGCAAAGAAGATCAAGGAAAATACATTAGCAGCAATTTATCTGATTTGGCTTAATGAAAACGAGCTCCAAACTCCTCTCAGAACTGATGCAATGTCTTCTTTGTTACCCCTCCCTACATTCCCCATCTGCTTCTGTGATGTTTTAGATTTTTATTTTTATTCCTCAGGACAAGGACAGTCCTTTAATTCTGGATGAAGCTGTTTGATGATGCTGGATGATCTGTTTGAGCTGTGTAAACGGAGAAATAACGGCTTCTAAGAGTGGCCAAGACCAATCACTTTCCTCACCTTATTCAGCAAATTCATCTGTGCAGTACCATCTGGGTTGATGATGAGGTTGAAGTCAAGGGAGCTCTGTTTTTTTAGACTCCCAAATTTCACTCTGGTAATGGAGTTATTTGGGAAGACCATCCAGTTGATGATGTCAAAGTCAGCTGCCAGGTCCCCTTTCTCACCTAAATAGACTTCATCCATGGCGGAATTGTAGAAATGAGAGTTTTGCCAAAAAAGGTGAAGCTAGAATGGAAGAAGAAACTGCAGTAGATAGAAAAGCCAAATTTCTTATCATGTTGATCCAGTTTGGACTATTGGTCTAAACTGATGATTCGTGTGAATTTGGAAAGCTGATTTGATTTAATGTGCTTCAGTTTGGATTGATTCAATTTTATGGATCAAGTGGAATAAAAACTGAATGGTCAAATCATTTGAACCCACCCGATTCACAATGTTAATCCCAATTGGAAAGTCAATTCAAAGTTTTAATCAAAGTGCATTCAGATTGAAACTTCAAACTGAGTCTATTATCATTCTGCCTTTTTAACATTTGAATATATCATCTTCCTTCCTTCCTTCCTTCCTTCCTTCCTTCCTTCCTTCCTTCCTTCCTTCC